CTGAGTTAAACTGGTAACAAATTGCAGTGATGGAGACTATTTTAAACTAATTCAGACAAACAAATTCAAGAGGCAAAAGCTAACTTTACCAAACTTCAGCCTTGTCACTCCTGATAGAAGAATTCCCCCTCTGCCTAAAGCCATTGCTTAGTTCCAGTCCAATTCTTTATTTTTCTTGAGCTCTCCTCCTAAAAAAAATGTTCGGATGGTCTAAATGTCTATAAGATTGACCTGTTGTAGCTATAAGGACTCGCATTCACCACGTGAGAAAGGGCATTTTCTCGACAAAATTCATTTAATGTTCATATTCTGTTTATTATTGTCACTGTTCTTAAGTCAGGTCTATTGTATACTCAAAAATAGACACTGTATCAGTAGAAATTGAGTAGAAGTTTTTAGCAACCCTAGGTCGCTTAAAGTAATGAAGGCCAGAAATTCACCAATCATTGCCTACCAAAAAAGGGTTCTCATCCAGGGTACATTATAGTTTTGATTCCAGAAGAGGCCCAGTCGAGTTCACTACTGCAGTCAGCCCTGATTGGGAATACTTTATGGAAGATGACGCTAAATGAAGTTTATTGGCATCAAGAGGCTAACTGGAAAGACTAGGCTGACTACAGCTTTCATTCAATACTTCGTCAACTAGAAACATTTACCATTACAAAAGACTTTGAATATATTCCGAATTTACTTAACCTGTATCTCAATTCCAGTTCTCATGCCTCTTCTTAGCATTTGGTAAGCAATCTTAAATTATATTAGGTACGATGCTGTTTCGGAATCATCTTCAATTTTCGTATAAGAGTTGAGTAGTCCTGGACAGTTTAGGGTGATCTAAGGACTTTGCAATGATGAAATTAGACTTTTAGGGCATGCCAAGTCTTTATGAGCTATTTTCACCCTATTTTGTTTAAAGTGAGGAAGGATTGATAGTGGAATTTTGTCGCAATGATATGAGTAGAGCTGACGTTTCCACTGGATTTCACATAGCCTTGCTTTCCTAAAAGGTGTTCTCATCCAGGGTGGATTGCAGTTTCGAACTCGCTTTTTGGGAAAGCAAGACTATCTGAAATTCAATGGAAACGCCAGTTCTACTCATATTATTGTGGGAAAATTCAACTACCAGTCCTTTATCATTTTAAACGAAATGGGGTGAGCATAACTCATAGACCTGATTTACTGGAAGTCTCGAAATCCTACTCAAAACTAAATATATGGCAAGTATTTCCCAGGACACATTTTTAATATTTGAAATATCTTTGATGTATACTTATATATGTCACTACAATCCTTGATACTACTTTGAGCCTATGTGAACGTATTTTAACGTTACTTTAAATAGAGTATGGTGATTAGGTTATCATTCAACCTTTATGACACCTCTTATTATATATCGTCATTTCCGATTTGATATTGGAGATGCAATGCCTAGGGGCCCCATGGAATTAAATATAATGAAGAAGGAGATGGTGAAACTATGCAACATAAGTATTTAAATTAATATAGAGAGAATTAAGATTTTAGGATCATATTATCTAGGGCTATTGCTATCATACCACAAGAGCCGGCAATTTGGAAAACTGCATGTGTATGACGGATTCAGTAGCAGTACTCGCGTCAGACTAGATATGGAGGCCAAAGGGTAGGAGAGACCAGTTGTTAGAGTGTATGTATGATATAATTTGTCGAATTTAGCTGACATTTCATATCAGAAAGTCCGGCAGATGGACTAGAACATCAGATCTTTAGTGATGTTGTCTATAAGGCAAACTTGTGTTTTCGTAAATAAGCAAAGTTCGGGACCACCTAAATGTGTTTTGCCATTAAAATTGGCTACGTTACTGATATTCATTGAAAGTAGGTTGCTAGACTATCCATAAATTGTGAATAAGAGTTCGAGTCACCTCAAGTTGAATATATTAAGAAAGGACTGGTAGCTGAATTTTCTCACAATAATATGGGTAAGACTCACATTTCCATTGAATTTCACATAGCCTTGCTTCCCAAAAGGCATTTTCATCTAGGCTGAACTGCTTTCAGTTGAGATCAACTGATAATCTCAAAACCTATTTAATTAGAATGTAAGTAATGTAGTCGTTTGTAATGGTAAATACAAGTTTTCTTTATCGACACTCCGACAACAAAATTTGATATGAAAAAAAACCGACTTTTACTTGAAATTCGCGTCTGCTCAGGGCAGGATGGTGTCATTAAAAATGTTCGAGAATATACGTTGAACTACCCGGGATCGAGTCCCACAGGGGGTGCTGACGAGACCTAGGCGGAGTCGAGACAGTAGTCCACCCTGAATTAGATCATGTTTTGGAAAATAGGGCTCTGTGAAATCCAAGAGTTACGTGAGCCCTATTCATTTCATTGTGAGAAAATTCAACTAGCATTCCTTCATTAATTAATACGACCTAGGGTGAATACAATCGTATTGTTCAGTTCTCGGTGAGGTAAAATGGGGTAAAGTTGATTGGCATATGAAATAAGACTTGCTTGAGTTGCCTTAAATTTAATCCCCATTAAGTTTTATTTCCTCCATTTTTGCTGCCCCTGCATGTCTGCTTATGTGTGTGTGTGTTTGTACACACCTATATATCCTTCACAGGTCACGACAATAAGGCATGGTCAATGTACGTCGACTCAAAGAGGGCCTGGTTCCTCCACGATGGCGCTCACTTTGAGCGTACTGATGGCGGTATCCAGGTCGGTTGCCATGTTGGTGTTAGGCTTGACTGCAACGAAGGCATCTTGTCCTACTTTCTGAACGGAGAACCCTACGGACCAATCGTGTTTCGTCATCTCAAACAGACCGTATTGCAACGTCGGCGATCAGCCACGGCCACGACCACCTCTACCGCCCTCACAACCACCACCACCACCACCACCACCACCACTACCACTGGCTCCAACACGGCCAGCAACGTTGTCATCTTCTACCCAGCGGTCAGTTTAAATAGATCAGTCCAAATGACCCTGATTACCGGCATCCATCCGCCCAGCGACAGTGATGATAGTGAAGATGAGATCCACGCCAGTAGTCAGGTGAGCGGCCTGGCCTCGACTGTCATCGGTGGTCTCATGCCTGTCCGAATGAAAGAGGACTCAGCCCATCTATAGACCGCTGTATTCGATGTTTTTGGCACGCAAGCACGCAATTCGCATCACCATTCGTGTTTCCATCATTTCCATCTTTTAGTACTTCACCTCTTTACAGACTCCCTTGCCTTCGGCAGATTGTCCCCTAAAATCGTCAGGCCGGAATTTGCATTTAACTGAACGCATACAGAGGGCCTAAAGACAGTTCGGACGAGAGCCGGTTGTTGTGATTGGCTGGAACTGCATGGCCTTACTCGATATTCCCGGCCAATCAGGCTATGTCTGAGAGGCCTCATTCAGCCCCCAGGGTCCGCTTGGACTGGAATGGTTGAGTGACCTTTTTCATAGAGCCCGTATGAGAGATGGAGTTGACGGAATTGCATTAAAGCTGCTTTAGGTAGAAGGTCTAATGGGAGAAATGAATGCGGTAATGATTGGATGAGCCTGTGAATGAAATAAAGAGACTTTTTGACAGAGAATGGCTGCAGAGTCAATGAATAACTAATTAACTAAAAAGGATATCAGTATTATGACACCACAATATACTATCTGCCTTAGGAGGGGTAATTTTCTTTTATAAACGGTCAGATAATCAGATTCACAGCTCAGTCAATGGATGAGTAAATCAGCAGCTATCAGGGCTTTATGAATTGCCTTGCCAATG